ACATCAACAAAATGGAATAACTGGTATGGTTAAAAAACTTCTAAAAAAAGGGATGAGTGTTGAGAGTTTGCTTGGGATGACTTTCTACTGAACATTTTAAATGTGTAAATTGGCAGTGAATATGAAAACAATACAATGAGACTGGTTTAAAAAAAAAAAAAAACAAACCAAAAACCAAAGTAAACACAGCTGAGAATAAACACTTTCAAAACATTTTAGAAAAGTTAATTTAAATTTCTTACTGGCTTCATGAGATTGGTACTGTACAAAAGCAGAGAATTTATAATGTCTTATAGTAGGCACTAAGTTAAAAATGGTCACCTAAGGCATTTCTACAAATAGACAGTAACAAGCCAGCTTTGTACATCCTATTGGAAAGCTTGATGAAATCGTGGTAGGGTGGTGGTTGTGCTTAGACTGCTTGTGAAAGCTGCTGACAATGAGTGCAGAGACCCAAGACCTATACTATTGCTAGGATCTTGTGGATCCTGGGTTTGTGGTGGAAGTTGAGTCATAGAAGAATGTGCCTCTTCTTGCGTATAACTCATTCCGAGGTTTCCCACTGAAACAGAAGGAGTATAGGGAGGGCCATTTACAGGTATGAAGTTGAACAGCTGAGAAAAGTCCAATGATGGGGCGTTTAGAGGTTCACTAATAGGAACAGAGCCCTTGGAAAGGGAAACTTCCCCAGACCCATCATCTAGTGGCCCTACTTGTGGATCCAGCCCTAGTTTTGATGAAGATGCTTGAGAATCCTGGGATGAAGAAGGCATACCACTTTGCAACTCCATTAAGTAACTTTCAATTTCCCCTTTCAATGGCTGTTCTTTTTCAGGCATAGAAATTGCGTATGAGGTAGTACCGAGCGGATATTTCAATGATAGCTGGTGAGAAGGGTGGACAGACTCCATGTCTATTGGACAAGGCATTCCCAATGGTAACGATGTGGCAACCATTTGGTGTGCAGATGCAGAACTCTGCATGGACTGAATCTGAGTGTTGTAGAGATTTAATTGCAAAGTGTTTGTAAATGGCTTTGATGTCAGTTCACTGGAAGGTAAAGACATCACTGGAAGCAGCTCATCCTTAATAGGCACAGAAACATTGCAGGTAAAGGGATCTAGAAGGTCCATTGGCTCTGTTTTGACCTTCAGAAGTTCTTGGTTGTGACTTTTCTTCATGTGGCGTGTGAGGTGATCCTTCCGCCCAAATCTCTGTGCACAGTATTGACAGAGGAAGTCCTTTCTTCCAGTGTGCACTACCATGTGTCTGCGGACATCCTTTCGGGTGTAGAACCGACGATCACAGTGTTCACACTGGTGTTTTTTCTCCTTCACTCCACCCGATGACTTGCCTGCATGAGTTTTTAGGTGCTCCAGCAGCACTCCTGTGCTTTCAAAAGTCTGCAAACATACCTTACAGGTGAGGTCACCACTTGTTGCAGCATGCAAAGCCAGGTGACGTTTGAACCCAAGCTTGGTATTGTAGTTCTTTCCACATTCTTCACACTTAAAGGCCTCTTTGTTGGGATTGTGTGTATGTAGGTGATTCTTTAGGTGATCTTTTCGGTGAAACATTTTCTCACAATAATTACACTTGTGGGTTTTCTCAGGAGAATGAGTAGCCATATGCCTTTAAACACAGATATATTCTGTAAGTAATTATTTTGATCAAAAAACACGTGCTCATTTTTTAATGGCAGCTAAATACTACACTAAGGACTGCTTTGCAACAGAACCTTTTAACTGAAAGCATGACACTACAAAGACATTTTGACAAATTTAAATATAGCAAAACGCGAGCCATTTCTCTTAAATTGACACTTTAGTTTTGGTGGGTTTTAGCTACTTGTAACAGGGGTATATGGGCAAGTATGAAAGTACTCGTGTAAAAGTCCATAGCCAAAGAACTTTCAGTCCATACTCTTTTTCTTGTGACAATTCCTTACACAAAGGAAAATTCTACGCTCATTAAAAACAAAACAAAACAAAACAAAAACAAACAGAAAACAAAAGCAGAAAACAAATTAAGAAACAAAATCAAAGACATTAGCTTGCAAACTTAGGTAATTTAGAATTCTAGAAACAATCCAATGGCTACTTTAATTAACACATCCTCTCTGCAATCAGCTGAAGGCGTACAGAAATATATACTTTTACACGGCTTAACACGGCCAACATAAAATAGATAATATAATCTGAAAGATAAATAGAGTTTAATACCTTAGTAATTTGTACTTAGAAACAAAGGCCTTGGTGCAGTCTTGTTGTGTGCACTTGTAGGGCCTCTCTCCTGTGTGAGAGTATGAGTGAACCTTTAATTTCTCAACACTGTTAAAGGCCTTGTCACACAGTTGGCAAGGAAAGTTTTTTCTTGGTTTGGTTTCACCACGCTTACGTTTCCCTGAAGGGACTTTCTGGGTATCTCTTACTTCTGACAAATCACCAGGAATGACAGTGGCCATCGCAGCCTAAACCAGGCCTTCTTGTTGGACACTTGGGAATTGCCCAACTCCACTAAATGATTTAGCTTTAGATGGCTTCTCAAGTTTCATGTGGTCGTAAAAGAAAGCAAAAGGGGACTGGAAAAAAAAAATAAGAAACAACTAGTTTGTAACTAAACTTAGATTTTGAAGTTTACTTGCTATGTGATGCTTCTGAATAAAACTTAAAAATAAAATTAGGTTCAGCTGGTCTAATGTAATACCTGCAGGTTTCTTTATACTATTTGCTGCAACTCTTAAAACGCATTGCTCAGGATGAACAGATCCACATATGCCCTGAAATCACACCTCACCTTTCCCTCAAACACTGATGGAGAACAGCAAAGTTTCTGTCAGATTAAGGGAGGCATGAGGCAAAGAACCTACCTACCCAGGCACCTTTTGGCAGCTTCGGATTTCAAAGGAATAACAGCCGCGCCTGTGGTGTTTACACAGACATCCGCACGCAGGCACACACCCATGCACGCAGCTATCAAAGTGAAAATCTGTAAGCCTCAAAATATTTGAAAACCTGCACAAAACACAGCAGTACCCATGCTGACAGTATGGGGGACCAAGCTTGTGTTCTCCCTCAGGCATACCTCCCCCCTATGATCACTGACATCTATGCACCCACTCTAGCAAAATGCACGCATTGCCAATGATGGCTAATGCCAGGTGAAATTCTCCTGTTAACTTGCCCTCTGCAAACAGACTTGATGTATTGACAACAGAAATCCCATGGGTTAGAGATAGATTATCAGCCAGCACTGGAGACCCCCACCCTCCTCATGCTATCCTGCGAGACATGAGGGCTCTAAGTGTTCTGACTCAGGCCAGCTCAGGATGGAAGCTCCTAGTCCTGCCCCTGTGGCATGGCAAACTGTGAACTAAATCAGAGGTTTTCAGTGTCAGGAGGTGTATGACGTGACCTTCGTGTCTGACTTGTGGGTAAACAGCTTTAAATTCATCATCTGGTATCATATAGTGGCAACTGGGCACCTGCCATCACAGGGCACTCAACAGCCCTCCTTTGTCAGCGGTGGCTGACAGCTTTTCCCCATCATCGGAGCACAACTGCTACTACAGATACCAAACCCCAGTGCTACCAGTTGTGGTAAGGGTGGAGCGCGAGGTCTGCAGCAGCAGGGGCAAGGAGGACAGCAGGAGGACAGCACTCAACGCAAGCGTTTGGCAGGGTTGGAAAGCCCCAAAATTTGGCCTCTCTCCCTCAAAAGTGCCACCACCCACCCCCTGGCCCCGGTGTCAGGGCTGACAGCTGCTGTCCACTCTGGTCTCTGCCGGGGCAGCTGCACGAGAAGTGGCCGGGCTGGGTGGCACCAGGGCCAGGCCGCAGCCGGGCCAGGGCTCGGCAGCCAGGCACCGCCACAGCCCCCAGCAGCAGGGCTGGGGAAGCCGCAGCTGCTGGGACAGGTGGAGCTGGGCAGCTGGGAGCTGGGCAGGCACCATCAGGCTGCAGCTGCTCCAGCCCAGCGCCACCTCCCTGAAAAACAAACCGGGCTCTTCCCTGCTGGCAGCAAGGGAGGATGGATAGCTGGGAGGGAGCCTGGGCCTGGCTTAGCTGTCCTCTCCATTGCTGAGGCTCAGCAGAGATGGAGGGAGTCAATTGCCCAAGAGGGGAGTGGAGAGCAGCGCCCAGTTGCACAGGACAAAACTACAGAGTCGTTGCAAAAGCCCCAGCGTGGTCCTGGAAGAAAGCGAGAAGGAAGGAGAGCCTGTGTTTTCCTCAATGCATGCCAGGACAGGAAGGCTGAGGGAGCAGGGAGAGGGAGAAGGGGATGTGCCTCTTTAATGTCTGCATTTTATGAAATCTTCAGACTGAGATCTCCACTGGAAATGTGTATACAGACTATGTCTTTATCTATGCCTTTTCCTCCCACCTCCCTGTAACTTTTCCCTTGTCTTTAGAAGGAGAGAAGTACCGGCACACCAAGATGAAAATCTGCTTCCTTTCAACCCTGAAGTCCTTGAATGACAGGTTAAACTATGCTACCTTGTTTAAGCAAGTAGTTTTGTAAAACCACCTTTAATCCCTCAAATTTTATAAGGAAACACTAACCTCTTTAAAGATACCCAGTGACAGAAAAGGTGTTTCTTTATGGACTCTTATGATTTCAGACTTGTCTTGGACTCATTCCCACTCATGGGACGAAGTCTGGAGACATCAGTTCCATGAGTGGGAACATGCACAGGTCTTCAAAGTATCAGCTTAATTTTATTTTCTGTCTCATAATCAACTATCTAGTTCATAACTGAAAAAGTGAAACATTGTTTGGAGACTT